GAAAATATCATCTATGTAATGGATAGATCGGTTTGCTTGGCTGTTTGTCGTGGATTAAATGCTTTTAATACCTTTTTGGGAAGCGAGAACACTTTTATTTTTCGGATCAGGTGCAATTTGAATGTGTTTAGCGTTGTTGCAGCTTTTATGGTTGCAATGGCTTAATTTAAGTATAAACTACGAAAACTTTCATCTCTCACGCATTTCTTATATAGTATTTTTATTATTTAGACTCAAATGTCCAAACAAAAACTATAGATTTTTGACCATACATATGGGTGAAATTTGTTGCATTTTATGTCCCCTATCTCGTCCTGGAAGCAATACGGCGAATTATCAATAACACTGTAATATATGTAATATTACCAGTTATCAAAATTGTATTATAATCATTTATATATGTCAGTATTGAGTATTTCTACACAAATTCTGATTAAGGATACGTTGTGAGCCATAAATAATAAAATATAAAGATTCAGTTATCCCATAGTTGAGCAAATTAAATTGCGTTAGAGTCCGTACCACTTTGTAGCAATACACGTTTTATGGTATTTTCTATTTGACAGATATGGCAAAATTAATTATCGATAATGAACATATAGTAATTGAATTAGTTTCTACCAAATAGGCATAGGATAGAACGTCTGCAATTTAGTCGACTTCATGGCTCTATTTTGGAATTGTCTCCCACGCCCACACAGCATTTATAGATGTACGTCGCAGTCAGTAAGAGTCCTTCATAAAGTCATTCCAATCTCTAATGTGCTCACAACACAAGAAATAAACACATTTGGGAATGAAAAAATTAAATTAGATCGCAGTTAAAATTTTGGATGTACACACGTAAAGTTTGTAAACCTTCTGGGATTTCTCATTGTTAATCTTTCATGAACAGTTTTTTTCTTAAAGGAAGTATTAATTCATCATGAAGAAACTGTAGACTTTTCCACCATTGACTTTTTGACGAAAACTTTACGATGCTTGTCGAGCTTACTGTCTGATCAAAGAGAATTTTTAGAGGGCCGACATAATTAAAAAAATGTCAAACTTCGTTATTCAGAGTCTTCCAGTTTTTTTTATCATGTTAGGGCGTTAAAATAGAAAAGTATTTCAATTATCTAGCGGTTAATAGAACAGATGGAAATTTTAACTTCAATGAACTTCAAAATATATTTTAGAATTCCTAAAATATAAAAAGTTCATACTATCTTATAAAAAAAGGTTTATTACTACTACCGAGTTACTAACTTGACCCTAGGACCCAACACTATTCAAATATGACTAATCTGCTATATAGCGGTTACGTGCACATATAAAACGTTAAGTGAATGTTTATCGTGGAAAAAAGTTTTTTTTTCATTTAGAGTCTCAGAGTGTGGGAAATTATTTTCCGGGAAAAATAAAATTATAAACATAAACAAATATTTTCTTTGCAATTTTCATATAAAAAAAGAAATATTCCTAAATTATGCACCAGCGTTTGTCAAATGATTTTAGTGCTTGGAATCGAAGAAGAAGTTCTAAATAATAAGTGAAAAATTCATGAATTAAATTCAAATTTGAAGGACGTAAGAATTTTTGCAGAGGGTATGTTTGCAAGAAGTTTACATTTTTGTTTATGTTATAATAGATAAAGTTATTAAATAGTTTAATAAAATTTTGCTACACGAAAGTAGGGTTCTTTATTTGCAAAATAACATTTATTGTAGTATAAGATTCACTACAGAATGGAATAAAAGTTAACTAAGGGTATTCATGAAATAAAAAAAAAAATATTAATTTTCTGGTGCGCACTTCATTGAACGACAATCGACATTTTGAGCAAATGTACTTATTTTTGCTGTCCTAGTTTCGAGGACAAAATGCGCATCATACTTGTTTGTCTAGAGTGTAATACTATGATATCCGGAATTTGAAAAATGAAAAAAAATGAAAAAGATTATTATTTATAAGTATTGAATTAGAATGATAATCATATTTGTCAGAAAGATTAGTAAAATAATCATAAACTTAAAATAAAGTGAAATATAACAAGAATAGTGGGATAACTTCAACGTTTTGAAAAATATTAATTGCGTCACTTCTAAAAGATATCAGAAAGTTTTCTGTACAACGTTCTGCTCTAAACAATTTCTCCGCCTAATGCAATAAAAGGAGGGAGTCTACCACTGCCACAGTCAAAACTCCAGTGCTGGAAAAATTTTGTGGGGCTAGGAAACCCTTGTGTGCAGTCCTAGGGTTAAATAATAGTTTAAGCAAAAAATAACCTAAAAGAAATTTGAAAATCGCTAAGAAATACAATTTCAATTGTCCACCAAAAGGGCTTTTTTCCGATTACTTGTAGGAACTCAAATGAAGTAAACTGCGACGTTCAACTTGAAACACTAGCAATAGTGCCTTTCACCTGCCGCGGGAACATTTGGATTTTGTTAAATAACCATATTTATCTCAATAATAAATTCCTATCAAATTATCTTATGTTCAAACAGATGTGGCAAGTTGATTGGACAATAATCAATAATCACTAAATCAATCAATTACTTTCAATCGGGCATATAAAATGTTACACAAAACGGAAGAAACAGTGAATTAATCAATTCATCAGCATGAAGATCTTCTGAAATTACCACACATGATCACATTCACAACCTTCTGGCGTTATTTATGATAGAAGGAAATCGGTAGTGGCTGTGAAATGGTACAAAGAATTACAAGCTAAGGCTCAATTACAATATTATTTCTAAGAAATTTGTTAAGTGTAGGGAATAATTAATAGTACTAGAAGCACTCAGCGTTCCCGCCACCAGCAAAGCAGCTATTGGCTAAATATAACTTCTTTGCTTACGATCTCTGTGACCATAACAAATTATTGTGTACAAAGTTGATTCATACTCTAGCATCTCTACAGTGTAGGTTTAAGCCCATATCGTCAGTCGTCCCTACAATTGTAGGGCGCCTTTATGGCCTCCTTGATTATCATAGTTTTCTACTTCTCCGTGTCAGCGCTCTATTTTGAGGTTATGTCACAAACATCTATTTGCATCAAATTGTGCTTGCTTTTGAGTTATATCATGTTTTATCAGCCTGAAATTTCCTACAATATAAAAAGAAAACATATCTTCATAATAGGACAGCGCTGATGCTGACACGGGACGTTTGCCATCTAGAAATTTTTGAAGGAGAGAAAGGAGTATGACAATCAAGGAGGCCATAAACGCGCCCTACAATTGTAGGGACGACTGACGATACGGGCCTTAGTTATTGCAATATAGGTCTACAAAATAATTCCGTATTGCTGACTACGAAGAGGTGACACTGCCACCTATGAGTAGTTCACCAAACGCATAGTCAGAGGCAACTATCTGTGGTATAACTTAAATAGTTCTACACGCCAAATGAGCAGGAGCTTTTGCTTGGCATAATAGTAATCTTATTTCAAAATTTTACAAGTATCCGCGAGCTTCTTTCCAACTTATACCAGAAAACATATTGCTCTGCTATTTTGCTAGACACTCCTTATGAACTATTGTTTAACGTATTCTACGTGAATATAACCAACCTAATACTATAGTGCCGCGTGCAAAAAAATATCCGGATTGAAATGAAATACCGAGGTCTCATTTATGAGAATTTATCATAGCTGTTTTCTCCTCTCCGCCCTAAATGAAAAACTTTGACAAGATTCACTACTTATAGATGGCGCTGTATATGCTATACGCTATAGTTGGCTACAGCACCATCTAGGGTTCTAATAAGGCCGGAGAGAAGAAACATAGCTGTGTAAAATTCTCATAGATAGCGATACGGTATCTTGTTTAACTCATATAGTTTTTTGGATGCGGGTATATACTATGAGGCTGGCTATCTTCGGCTAAAATACGTAAACTAGTATGATCCTATTACGATGCGGCAAGTCCTAACATAAAGTTTCCTTACAAGTGATATTACTACTCGTAGTCAGTAAACCTTGAGTAATAGTAACTTCTCTCTTCTGAATTCTGAACACGTCCAAAATATGAAACTTAATGCAGGTAAATGTGCAAGATTGCAGCTGCTTTAAGATAATTTGTTGAATCTCTTAAAATAATGATAATAGTGTTTTAGTGAGGTATGCAAAAGGTCGTATTCGCGACATGATTTGTTTAATGATCCCTTAGAGAAGGAACCAAATTTCATATAATTTATTTAATATAGAAAATTATACATGTGATTTAAATAAAATGGCTATTAGTGTCAACACCATGGGACATGAACCTTTTAGTGAATGCTAGAGCCATTTGGTATGCATGCTACGTGTGGCAACGTACACTTCGTGAGATCTTTCATCTGGAAACACATGTTACCATAATCTTCTGGTTGTACTAAATTTGCAACTGGATTCATACCTCCTATAGCATTCAATTCATAAACGATGGTTTCATTAAATATTTCATTGTTTCTTTCCTCCATTCTAGGGATATCTCGTACTGACGAGCTATAATAAGAGCGAAGCAATGTCGCCTTCTACTGGTTGTGGGAATAGTGGCCAGAAAGTATTCATAGTAGCAGTATTAATTACCGGTTTGTTTTCCTTACTATAAATCATTTTTTTATGAGTGGGTCAATCACGATCCTCCACTGCGACTCATTGCTTATTGTGGCTCACGCCTATTTATATTTCTTCCAGTATTTCCAACCTTCTAAGGAAACCGATAAACTTGTTTAGAGAAATATCTTTCAGATCTTCTACTTGGAGTACTACTTCCCCAAGTGCATTGTATCTGTCTCTGGCACTTGCAGAGCATTTTCATAAACAAGCATTTTAGAATTTTCTGAAGTCAGTTAGGTTATTAATAATGTTATGCTAAGATACTCTTATTAGTAAATGGGCACATTTAGGAAACAACAACCCTGTAGCGCCCTATGTTTGCGTTTATATGAACTAAACTGACGTTGACATTAAGCGTTACATCGCTGTCGTTCCCTGTAATGCCCGATTAGTAGATTAATATTGTATTTACATGCGTCATCCCCAAACCTAGGCGAGAATTGATCAAGCGGAGGGTATAGCGGCCAATAGTGGTCTTCGCCCTGAGCAAACCTACTTCTTCTACTTTGCTTCGTGTACGCTCCCTCCAGCCATCTCAGGATGTTTTGAACCATTTGGTCAGCGCTGGGACTTTCCCTCGTCAGTCTGCTGTCTGGAAAGAAGAAATAGATCATGTTAATTGATTTGATAATTTGCCAGTTTTTTTTTCGCGTTTCGGGTGAATTAAAAAATCATATGGATCAGTTGAGGATTGCTTTTATACGTATAATGATTCGTTTAGAAGAATAAACGTAACGCACCCTTTTTTGCATAAAAATATTTATCTTCCGGAATGGTTTGCGATTCATATTGGCACGATAAACTAGTGTATTTTGCTATAAAATGCTCTTTGAACTAACCCTGTATATTTCTCAATAGACTAGTAGTGATGGCAGGAAAATAGGTGTTTTGGGATAACCAATTAGAAATTCTCAAAAACTAGTTGACCAATGTATTCCAATTTTGTTGTGGTTATTTAGAAGTAGGAATCCTACAGATTTAAAGAATTTCTAATATTTGCGAGGAACCTTCGTCGCATTATCAACACGTGCCAAAACCTTCAGTTTTCGGCCATAACTTTTTTGCCATTAGTCGGATCTTTTTATGTGCAGTCTCATTTTGTAGGTCTCATAAATATCTAAAAATCTTATATGAAGAGTATTTTATTCCCTGCCAACACTTTCGATTGAATCCCAAAAAACACGTTTTCTCATTCTTTGTTGTCGAATGAAAAGTTTTCCTACAAAAATTGGTGTACCCATTTTATGCGTCCATGTTTTAAATACCCCTTTGAACAACTTGCAGCAATAAAACCAGACTTTACAATTATTTCGCAAACCAAGGGTATTTTCGTCTAATGTGATTTAGACTATATTCAAAAAATCATTAGTATTGTTATGACAGGGAATAGAAGTTCAGCAAGTCCCTTTTTTCAATTTGTCAAGAGGAATATTTCTGCAAAGAGAACCTTGCGCTTCTGACAAAATTGCCAAGATTTCGAGTGTTGTAGGAAATTCGTTCGGAACCCGTAGTGGAAAAAATTCGGGCGTTGGGTACCAAATATAACCACACTTATGCGTCACACCCAAAGGATCGTTCTATTTCACGTTGTGTATTTAACTGGGTATATCAAAATTTTATAAAATATTTCAGATTTCAACTTTGAAATTTCTATTTCACGGACTACAGCCCAACAACTTGAACGTTTGATAGGTTTTGACTTTTGAGGAAACTTTGGATTTGTTTTGACTGCACACTTAAAACCTAATTCCTTCCTATACAGTAGTCGGGTTTCTATTTTTCGAACGCTTTTGTTTATTTATGCAAAAAATCTTCATATCATGAGTTGCACTGACCCCATTTATACTCATGCATTGCTATATTGAGGACTTAAGCGGCGACAAAAAGTGAATGTGTACGAAATAATGTTATTTTAACTTGCGCTAGATTCATAGACCAAATACCGTACTGTTCCAAAATAGCAAAATTAGATAGTTGATTCTGTGGGAATATAATACCATCAATCTATTATATTGCATGATAGACCCCTAGGCAGGTTGATTTGATTTCATGTACTCATTTGGATTCAATTTATAGTTCAGGCGATTTATTCTTAAAAAGTAAGAAAAAGTGCTCAGAAGTAGTATTTTTGAGACAATAGTTAATAGTAAAATGACGCTGAAACATAAAACTATAATAGAGGCGCTTTTAAAAATGGAAGTTATTTTATAATACCCTCTACGGACCTTGACCGCATTGTAGATGCTCGTTTCATGGACGGGAACACCGAATGAATAAGCATGTGGATGTTAGTAAAAATTATGCAGAAAAATAAAAATTGAAAGTGAAATGTAGCTATATTGCAAGTGGAACAGGGGTGGGGCATAGGGATCAACTTTCCATCTCAAATAAACAAGATTTTGGGAAAATTCGGCTCCTTTTGTCGATCTCTGGAAATTCTCGGTGTTGCCAAGCTTTCTCAAAGCCATTTTCTTAGTTAAATGCGCTATTTTACCTTCATTTGAGCGGCTTAGTATCATTTACCGTTTCCGAGATCTCAGTGGTGAGAGTTGAGTGAAACATGTGGTATAAAATATAAATCAAGGACTTTCCTAAAATTTTGACCATATTGTTGCATTACACTATAATGATAAAATAATAACCAGTTGACTCTGCACTACGTAACCTTATACGATGTACTTTTACCATGCTCAACATGATCAAGGATATACCTACGAAGATGAAGTAATAAAAGTTATTCATGCAGGTGAATGAATGCCGGTTCTGATTTCCGTTGATCAAGCATTAAGTTTTCGCGCGCAATCGAGGAGTAATTTGAAGGCACTCATTCTCAATTCTTTGTCTGAGGTTTTCTAATGATGTTGGCTTAGTAGCATAGATTTTGCTTTTTAAATGACCCCACATAAAGAAATCCAAAGGTGATAAATGTGGCGATCTTGGGGGCCTTTGAATGGCACCTCTTCTACCAATCCATCGATCTGGAAACGTCTGATCTAAATATTGTCGAACACGTAATGCGTAATGTGGTGGGTCACCAGCCTGTTGGAACATGAACCTATTCGCAATGTACCGCCGATCATTCTGTTTTTCAATTATGGTTGTTAATGCAGGATCTATGGCGTCTTCCAGTAATCCCAAATACATTTCACCGGTCAAATTTCCAGGTAAGAAAAAAGGACCAACTAAATGATCGCCAAAAATACCAGCCCAAACATTTAATTTTTGTGGCTGCTGTGTATGAACTTCATGATAAATTCTGGGATTACAATCGGACCAATATCGGCAGTTATGACGATTTACTACGTCATTTAAGAAAAAGGAACATTCGCCGGAAAAGCAAGTGTTGAATAGAAAATATTCATAGTTTATAATTCGTTCACTCATATCTTCACAAAATTGTAATCGCCGATTAAAATCGTCTTCATTAAGTTCTTGTACCAGGTGAATTTTATACGGATGAAAACTATGGGCCTTTAGAATCCGTTGGACAGTACGTCGACTAACATCACACACAGTCTCCAATTTGCGGGTACTTAACGTAGGATCTACATAAGCTTTCCCTAAAACCCATACTTATGTTGCTTCGTTCCTTATGGGATTTTCAACGTTGCGTTTTTTATTGGCGACTGACCCAGTTTCCCGAAATATAGCTACGAGTTCTAGAACATATTTTCGATGCACCTTACTGTTCTCATGTCGCTCATTAAATTTTTCTGCTGTTCTATTAGCGCACTGATTATTTCCGAAAAATATTTCGATAATTTCAACTCTTTCTGATGTGGAATATACCATGGTTACTTTATGTTCTTAAAGCGTTACAAGTTATTTTCGCAACAAATTTTTGTCAAATCAATCGCAAACTATGTACTAAATTCCTATTTAAAATAAGTACGAGACATTTCCTTATCTTTCTTCAAGAAATAACTTTTTTGCCACAAAAAAACGCTCCAATAGCTATTTTCAACAACAAAATGATAAACAAACCATGGGCGTAGTGAAGCATAGCATTTACTTATTAAGTAAATTCTTTTAGTCAAATTACTTCTGAAAGTAGTACAAACTAATCTGATGTACCTATTAAAGTCTACTTTAAGCTTTACATCAATCAATCTTTAAAACTAGTGAACTGAAACTCATGTATTTTACATCATTATAAAGGGAATTGAAAGACCTTTAAAATAAGGTATCACTCGATCCCCCTTTCCATTTAAGATTTTAGGGTTGGTGTCACCCCCGCCCAGGGGGCTGCACGTGTTAACGTGATTTTTTGCCAAACTTGTGTCCCCCTCGAAAATAAAATTGACGGGTCTGAGCGTTTTTCCAAAAAAAACTCTGCTGCCAGTAAATGCGTCTGTTTCGTTTTCGATACGCCACCCTGTATACTCACATTAAAATATATAAGTAAATATAGCAAACAATAAAAATGGAAGAAATGTTTCACTTAATATATACAGGGTGGTTCACAACTTATCCGACAAATTTTAACCACATATGCACTGTTACGAAAGAAGTTGATTTCTCAAAAAAAAATGTAATAAAAGCTCTACAGAAATTAAGTTATAAACCTGAGTTTCAATAATAAATTGAAAAATAAATATCTATTCTGCGTTCATCGTCGTGATATTAGAACACGCATTAATAATTTATTGTAGCAAATGTTGTACCAAACAACTGACGAAAACAAAATACCAGGAATTTTTTTGTTTCTTCATACTGATAAGAACGTGTAAATAAGGCTTCTGTATCGTGGGTGATCTGAATGAAGAACGTTCGATTTTTGTGAAGTTAAATAAGAAAGTATTTTGCGAGTTTATGTTTTAAGTTATTTACTAATAAAAATGGCACATGTGTACACTAATGAGGAGTTAGTAGACATTGTTTTAACGTACGTAGAAGCAGGGCGCGTGCTAGTGGAGATTTGCGCCATAGACGTGGAGTGGATGGGGAACGGGTTCGCTGGCAACGCGTTTTGAATGCCGAAGACGAAATTTTGGATATTGTGGAAGAAAATACGGGAATAAGCACAAAGCAGTTAGTCCAACAGGTCCTAGAAGTGTTATATTCAACAGCGTGGCGTATATTACATATTATTTTATTATCTCGATTTCTGTAGGACTTTTTGGGGAATCAACTTCTTTCATAACAGTGCGTATGTGGTTAAAATTTGTCGAATAAGTTGTGAAATACCCTGTGTAAAATCAAAATGAGCCTATCACAATTGAAATATTGGTCAATATGAGCACTTTTTGAGTGAAAACTGCACTTTTCAAGAAGTAATGGTGGTTGCGTTTATAAACGGCAATTGATTTATACAGCAGACACTGCCTCGAGCTGGCATCCGTTAATAAGTTAAAGAGCTAGTTCGGAAAATGTTCTGAAGATTCGGAAATCATGTAAACTTGTACTTTTTAGAGATTGGCAGAATTAGAAGATACCTTTATTTTGAACAAAGTGCACAGAACGGTGTACCAGATTTCTTCTAATTTCTTCTAAATTTAAAAAAATCTGATAACTTTCTTAAATCATATACCAACCCAGTCTGTCCAAACTTTAAATCTGCAAAAAGGTTCTGCATTCTTTCGGTCTGTTCCC